AAGAACAAGAAAAATATTATGTTCTAAAAATAAGCATAAATACTGGACTTTTCAACATCTATTAAAAAAGTTTAAATTTTTTTATAATTTATTTGCCACATAAAGTAAGTCATAATGTTGAACAACTTTACAAACTTTCTAATATATTTAGTGATTTATCATTTGTAAAGTGTAAAGTGAAATTAGACGTCGGTTTCATTATATTTTAAAATTATTTGTATAATTTTCCTATTACATATGGAGTGATGAACGTAAAATAAATCTTAAAAAACGTCTCACGTCTTAAAATTAATTTTTATCAATTCATTAAATTTCAACTAAACTCTATTTACACCAATAAATTTATAAATTTTATTTCTTATAAATAATTGAACAATTGAACCCAGAAGATTCAAACATTTTAATATTTTTCTTAAATTAAGTCGTCAACATCAATTAGAAATATTTTTCCCTATAATGATAGCCATTTTAAATGTCAAACAAGTAACTATCTCATTAAATAATAATGAAATATTAGATAGTACTCCACTTTCGAGGGTAGTCAATTTCTTTGGGGTTGGTACCAATTCTGATTTATCCTTTTCCTAGTTTATTTAGTAGTAATACAAAATATTTCTGTTGACAAGGAGGCTAAACTTTGATTAGCCAGTTGATCATAATTTACTTTCATAAAAAAAAAGTTAAGATATAACAAGATAAAGATAAATTAAAAATATTGCAATTTCAAATATCAACCAAAATAAAAATTACAGCTAGAAATTTTGACCCATTTAGAATATAATAATAAAACTTAATATTGAACTACAGTGTAATAACAAATTTGACTATAACTTATATACGTATAATTAATTATACAAAAAACATGTATGATTTGATTTAACTAACACCGATATGGAAAACATTATACGGAAAGTAGTTAAATTAAATAAACAAAATAATAATAATTTTTTTCTATATTAAAAATTATAATGAATTAAGTAATCTTCCGTGATTGAGTATTTAATTTGAATAAATATTTTATTTAAAAAAAATTAATTGGGAATCTCTCTTTCCCTTATTTTATTAAAAAAAAATAGACTAGCGGTCAAGCTATCATGATGTAGACGATTTAGTCTTTTTCAACCATTATATAAGAGAATGATGGAACGGTATCACCCACCATGGTGGGAGGGCCGAATTGCAATTTTGATAATGTAAATAAATAATAAATAAATAAATCCAAAACTATAGGAATTATATAATATTAACCAAATTTATTTTTTTTTCTCCTAAGTTTTGGGTTGTGCCATGTGCGCCTTTTGGATCTTCATATTTCTCTGTCGGATCACACTTACACTTTGTTCTTTAATTTTATTCGCTCGTCCTTCATTTAGAACAAAAATCTTTTGTCCTATAGTAGGGATGTTGAATAATAAAGTACTAGGTACTCTAGCTCGAATTATATTATTTGATAAAACACTTGTACTCTACGAATATATGATAATTTTTAAATTATTAATCAAATTTATATCCAAATATTCTAAACATCACTTGTTAAATAATTGTACTAGTTAAACAATCAATTAAAATTAAATTTTATGTGTAGTACAATGAAAATTAAATTAATAAATTAAAAATAATTCATAAAAAATAAATGAAAATATAAAATCATTTTTAAAATAATTAATGAATTTTAAGTGAGTATTACATTAATTATAAAAAATTTATAAACAAAAAATAATATATATTTATTATTTATAATTGAGTTCAATAGTCGATATTTTATGAACATTATTTTAACCCTACTTGAACAGATAACTATAATAATTTTACCCTTCAAACTCTTCTCTAACTTAATTATAAAATACTTTAATCGTATTTAAATGGGTCAAATAATATAGAGTATCAATTAAAAGCCGCCCTACATCTGCCCCATTTACAAGGATTAACCTGTTAGCTTTACTGTTAAAAGTGAATGGAGATGGGTAAGTAGGTAAACCATACACCAAGTGGCCATCTCATCATGAGACAGGGACTTATCCATACGCCTGGCGGCTTGAGTTGAAGCCTCATGTACGTTGGGAATCTCCCCTTTTAAGTTGCCTAGAAAGAAGAAGGAAAGGAAGCATTTATATGATCAAGAACAAACTCACCTGAATGAGGCCGGACAGAAAAGAAACTGAAACATTTATCATCACATGAAGTGCATTCATCGTAAAAAGCCCATCACATGATGGAACAGATGGTTGTATTTGGTTCATAAACCATTTTATGGTATAAGGTACGCTGTGAACACTTACAACAACTTCATGAAGTGAATTTGTAGATTTCTTTTCGTTTCCTTTGGCTTCTCCCACAGCAATTATGGTGGCATACCCAAGCTTTTTCCTGAATAAACAGGTCAAGTATGCTGAATCAATTCCTTCTCCAGCCATGGCAACCTGATCTTTTGTCTTTTCTTGCTATCTCCACCAAGCACACACCTGTCAGAGAAAACAAGGATTAGAATTCAGAAGAACATTGAACAAATGAGTATTTAGATAAATTAATTTATTCAAACGATGCAATATATACCATCTGCTACAGCAGCAATCCTCATGGCCTTGTTTCAGCAATTGTCACAATGCAGCAAGAGACCAGAAATCCTTGATTTTGACAGGAGTTGTATTTTGGATTCAGAACCTCGACCTAGTAGCTAAGCCCAGACAGCCACCCAGTTAGGAGGAAAAATAGCAAACTGTTGGCAAGCTAGTTGAAGACATTCCTCCACATATGAAGGAGGTTCTACCTCCTGATCAAGTCTTCAACGTCCTCGATTCTAAAGAGGGGTTGTAGCTAGTTGAAGGGTTTTCCTTGGTTTGAGGTATACAAGGCGCAACAATTCTTTGCATGTAAGTAGTGATCTGAGTTGTTATTGAGCAATGCGTATTCTGCGCTGGAAAGTGATTGAAGCTGCTGCTGTTTCAATGATTTGATGTGCACTTCGGTTAGTAAGCTGCTGTGCCGAGTTGCTATTTATTATTGCTGCCTTCATGTATGGACAATACCTTGATGCCTTTATGTTCATTTGAGTTATTAGGTGCAGAACCCGATGCCATTTACTGTTACACTTTTAAGGCATGGGTAGGCAGTGTGTTTTGCATTGAGGTGCTGTTATTGTAGGGACAATGCTGAGGCAAACAGACTCTGCTTGGGTCTGCTCTCTTCACGCTGGTTCCCACTAGCTTTCCTCAACTTGGGATGAGTAATAAAATTAACTTGGACTGAGAAAAAAAGAATACACCACAATTGAGTAGGACTGCAGGGTATTTTGTTCAACTGTAAGGGAAGATTCAAGTTATCATCATATAACTTGGAATGATTTACAGCAAGCTGCTTATGTTTCTGGTTTGACAATGTACTGAAATTTTGATGAGTCTTGCTACAAATCACATGACAGTGTAGCAGAATACTATAAAGATTAATAACTTGGCAAATGAGTAGAAGCCTGGACAGAATTAGTATTGATTATTAGAATGCATGGTACTAGAAATTAATGCTCAGCTTAACTGTTTTGCTTCAAACTGATATTCTCAAACAACAATGACCTTTCACCAATCAAAAGGTTGACCTTTCAAATTGACGACCCTAGAGAGGAAACTGCACACAAAGAGGGAATACATGCACAACAATAACTACAAGAAGTAAACAGTGACAACATAGTCATAAGACTCACCACTGTAAGTTATAACTCCTCATTAATATTGACAAGAAAACTGTAATAGCAGCAACAATTCTCTTTCATATGTCTTTTGGGGCTGGTACACTAATCAAAACAGAGAAATCCATGACAGCAAACTCTAGTGCCTAACAAATGATGGAACCAAGTCACTTTAATGATAGCTACTAAAAAATTACAGCAAATTTCTTTGACAGCACATATATTAACTGGTTTAACAGCACTGGCTTAGGAGCATACAACGAGCCTCGGCACTAGGCTTTTAATCTTGCAATGCCGTCTTCTTTAATCTTTTCAGTTGCTTCAACCTCTTGGCTATCCTTTGGTGGGAGTCTCCTTGCACTTGGGGTTTAGCATGAGTTTCTGGATTGTACTTAGATTGGGGACGTACCAAATATACAAACGAAGTCGGTTCTGGCCTTGTAACAGGTTGCCTTGAAGAAGATGGTTGGGAACTTAGCTTCTGCATCTTAGCAATTTTGAAGATCAAATCAGCCTCGATATATTCCACCACTGCCGGGTTGCTCCCAGGCTTTTTCATCACTGGAACATGAATATCATCATCGTTTCTCAAGTCACTGAACCTAGTACTCTTGTTAAATATGATTCGGCTCCATTTGTCAATCAAATCCTTAGCAAGTCTTTTGTTGGAAACTATTTCCTCCTCAAAAAATTACAAATTAATTTTTAATGATTAAAGTTTTGATATTATTAATGTTATTGTTATTTTTTTTTTGTGTTTGATTAAAGTTAGGTTACTAAATTTTGATATATTGTATTAATTAATACATTAAAATGTTCATCCATTATTTTCTAGTTTTATATATTAATTTATGATATATTTGAGAAAAAAAAAGGGGAAAGCTTAGTTTACATATGATACTATTTGTCAATCTTATGTGGTCATATTCATATTCAAAAATTATTAAATAAATAAATTAACCAGCAAATCAACGATATAACTTGTCAAAATTGAATTAAAATTAGACCAAACCCACATTTAACAGTAAACTAATGGTTTGACAATGAACTGAAGTGACTTTGTAAGTGTAAGGTAGAATGTACTTCTTATTTTTCTCAAAAACCCCATCACATGGTAGTTGGATTTGGATCATAAACCATTTTATGGTATAAGGTACACAGTGGACACTGGCATGGGCAACAAAACAAATCAACTAACACAAACAGAAGAGAGGAATGGAATAATAAAGAAAAAGAATCCAATAAAAAATTTGTAACACCCTGAGTGCTAAAATGAAAGGCCATGTTCTGCAATTTACATTCACATGACAAGTACTATCAGTTCATTCTCTCAAAACAGACCACTTCTCATTCTTCTGCACCATTCTTTTTGCCTTTACCAGACATGTTATTCTTACTGAATAAACCAATCAACAGAAAAAAAGTACTCATGTTGAGCCAGACATGTAATCTATTTATAGAGAGAAAAAATTGCAGAAGAACCAATACAAACAGAAAGACATAGCAGGGCAGCAGCATGGTAGAGCCTTTTCATCACCAAAAGGTATCATTTGAGTCGTGTTCGCTCTTTGATTATCTTCAGGCCAAGATATCTGGCAGAACAAAGTAACACAGATTAGATTAGTTAGTCTGTTTTAACTTGGATGGTGAAGACAAACTGAATTGACAGCAAAGCCAACACTAACCTGCCAAGCATCATCAGAGTGGCCTGAGGGTTGGTTCCTGGTGAGACACTAAACGTTGATCCATCAACTACTCTGAGTGCATCAATTCCAATAACATGGTAATTGTTATCGACCACTTTCCCAACAACACAGCCGCCATGGTAATGCCATATGGTGCTGACAGTACGCCGGCAGAAGTCAGCCATCTGTTCGTTGTTCGATTGATCAACAGGCAATGCAGGGCCAACAAATCTGAAATTTCTAGTCCCAAACCATTCGCGGAACTTGAAATAATCCATAGATCGACTCCTCAACAAATCACCAATCCTGCGTGTGCCATTCACACATCTCTCCACATCTATGGGATTGGTGAAGTAATTGAACCGCACGATGGGATTGAGCCGGACATCTGTTGAGGCCAACCTTAATGAGCCAGATGAAAGAGGGCCAACAATCTTCTCCATGATGGTAGCCACAGTTAAAAACAGAGGGGAAGAAGGTGTCCGAATGAACACTGACCGTGCAGGGGATGTAAAAGGGATGACATTTGAAGCTGCCTCGACATAAGCCCCAGCTTCAGTTATCCCCACAACTTGTATCAGCGAGTGCTCCAATGGGACCGGTGGCACAATTGAGATGCCATTCCTGGGATTATCATAGAGGAATTGGCCTACATATGGATGGTGGTATGCAACCGGGATTCCCCAGCTAGACAGGTATGACCTGGGACCAATCCCACTTAACAGCAACAATTGCGGACTTCCAAGAGCTCCAGCACACAGCAGGACCTCACCTTTTTCCTTCACCATTGCGTGGTGATACCTTCCCATTTGGTCTCGAAACACTACCCCTATGGCTGACTGCCTCAGCCTAGTGGTGGCATTTGAAGAAGATAATGATGCTAACAGTACCCTTTCAACACTTGCATAGATTGCTACTTTAATGCTCCCGACTCTTGCATAATTCAGAAGATCAGCAGCGCTATGCCTCTTCCCGGAGCTATCAAAGGTGGAGCCACCGATCTTGGTCCCAACCAAATGGTCCAAACTGAAGCCATTGTAAGGATCAACTCCTGCCTCTACCAACCCATCCCTAACAGCTGATTGCCAGTTCTTTAACTCTGGCCTAAAAACAACCCCCCTCTCAACCCACTCGTAGGACTGGTTAACCAAACTAAGATCCCAATTCACACCTGAGTGCTTATAAAACTCTTGGTCAGCTCGGCTATAGAAACCGGCATTGATGGCACTGCTGCCACCAAGAATGCGGCCGCGGGCGTTTGGGACGCCGTCCTCGGAAGTAAAGGCTTGAGCAGGTGAATCATAGGTGTCGACCTGGGTGAGCGTAGTCAAGAACCCTTCTTGAGTCATCAACTGTTGGTTTCCGTAGGGAACTCCACCTCTTTCCAGGACAAGAACCCGATACGACTGCGACAAAGTTGCGGCTAATGGACAACCTGCGGTTCCTCCTCCAACAATGATGTAGTCGTAGTAGTCTTCTGATGGAAGATCCGTCGCATTCAACACAAAGTTCAAGTAAACTGGGTCTGTACCAAAAACATAAAGCAATCACAAACCCACCAAGAAATTTGTTTTACAACTCATTCTTTGAAGAAAAAAAAGTAGCTAAAACATTGAAATTTTCAGTCATTTTCCAAAGAAAGCAGAGAAACCAAACAGAGGCAAAGAAAAAGAAATTTAAACTGAATTGAACTGAACTGACCGCGTTGAGGAAGTGGTCTTGCAAGAGAAAAAACTGGGTATAATAGCAGCAAGAACGCAACGCATTCAAGGGAAAAAACAAAGAGTCTCCCCATTTTGCTTTTCCTGGAGGAAAGAGAATGTTTCTCTTTGGTGTTTCTTGGAGGAGAGAGAATTTTCTTGGAGAAATAGTAGAGAGAATGAGGGTGAAATTTTCAGTTAAAGATTCAGTTGAAGATGGTTATGTTGATTTGGGCGCCAATCCAAGAGCAAAGGGTCCTCCAACAATCCAACGCTCAAGATTCCTTCATCCATTAAGTTTTTTAACTTTTGTTTTCCTTTATTTTCCATTTCCATTTGCTTTTATCGTCTTTCCTAATGAGAAAAATCAGTAAATAATTTAAAAACTAATTTTTTTAATTTTTAATTTTTATCATAATATTTTGAAAAGTCTATAAACTATTTAAAAATTTTAAATAAATTACTATTTAATTAAATCTTAATATTTTTATGTTAAATTAAATAAATTTTTATAACTCTATCATTAATTAAAATGAAATTATACTTTTTATATTTTTTGTGATGATAATATAAAATATAAAAATATCATGTAATTATATTATCATGCCAAATTATTATTTATTATAATATATACATCAATATTACATGATATAATATAATAAGTGATGTTTTAACTAATAAAAATTAATTAAAAGTTAGTTATAAAAATTAATTTAATTTAAAATAAAATTACAAATATTTATTTTAATATAATAAAATAATAAAAATTTATTTAAAATTTTTAAATATTTTAAAAAGTTTTTTAATTATTACACCTTTTTTTTCTCTTTTTATTTTTTTCTTTTCTTTTCCTGTCTCAAAGGAAAATTTCTTTTGTCAAAAAGGAATATTCTTTATGGATATTTATTAAAAATAATTTATTACTTCTGTTTGGTATCATGAATTATGATTATAATTTTTATTTTATTATAATATTGATATATATCACTTATTTATTTATTATTTATTATAAATTTTTTATGAAGATTTAGATTTTTTGTATAGGTTACAAGATAAAATTAAAAATTAATAAACAATTTTAAATATTATTTTATTCTATTCTTTTACCTTAATATTTTATATTTCGAATTCCCCCTTCCATATGCATTGTTCTCTTACTAAAAATTTTGACTTCTCAACTCTTCTTATTTGTTTTCTAATTCCCCCTTCCATATCCACCATGCACTTACTCATTCTCCCTTACGTGTCCCTACTCACAATTTTTCCGAATTTCTCCCAAATTCTATTCAGGATAATTAAATTTTTATTTAAATAAAATAAACTCTTAATTTTAATAAAAATTAAACATTGTCAAATTGAATGTCAATCGTAAATAAAAAATTACCTTAAATTAATTATTTATATATATTTCTTATAAAATCAATTCATAATTTCTTGAAGACATGTAGTTAAGATTATATATTCGAAAAATCAACCCTCATTATTCCACCATAGCACATGTTGTAAATAAATAATAACTTAAGGTAACTTTTGATATCCATTTTAAGATTATCGTAGTGATTTAATTGTGTTGTGATCTTATTACGATGTGAATACTTTCATTGATAACCTCAAGATCAACATTTTTGTGTATTTTTCACTTAATAATAATTAATCACTGAAAATAAAAAATCACCATATTTGATATCACATAAAAGACAAACATATTTTGTATAAAACGTCAAAATAACCATGTCTTAGATGTTAATAAATTGATAAGTTATGATTAATTAAATCAATAAACAAATATGAAAAATATATATGGCATAATATCTAAAAAGCCTCATAAATTATTTATAAAATTCAAATAAGTCTCTATTCTTTTATAATATTAAATTAAGTTTTCATATTTTTATTTTATATTTAATTTTCATTAATCATGTTTTATTAGTTATAAGTTTTTATGCTACATAATGCTGATGTGGCATATTAAAATATCATAATAGATGATCATGTGCTTAATTGAAAGTAATAAGAGAACACAAACTTTTAAATTTTTTTTGAATAGTTTAACAATTTTTTAAGTATTATGTCATATAATTTTTTTTAATAAGCTAACTTTTAAACTTGGAATGGAATAGTGAATTTAATTAATCAAAATAATATTGAATTTGCTATCAAAACAAAGACTCTATGCATAACCAAAGAAAAAAATGTGGAGAGAAATATGTAATATCATTTGAATTGGTTACAAATTTTTTTTTGAGAGAGTAAGGTGTTGTTTGATAAAATTAAAAAAATTCAGCACTAAAAAAATTAAAATTTTAGTTCTTAAAAAAATTAAGTAGTGAATCTTTATTGCAAAAATCATTCTATGTTCTAATAAAACTTAAATAATAAATATATGTTTTGTTGTTTTTATTTCCAATTATTACATTAGTAAAAGTTAAAATGAAAAATAAACAATTATAAAAAGAAACAATATAAGGTTAATGTAATTAAATATAAAATGAAATTTCTCAAATTGAAGTAAAAATCACCAAATTTTAACAAATATAGTGAAAAAGGAGACTTGGTAATTTTGGACACAACATAGGGTTAAACAAGTTTAGATTTAGCTTTAAGGTATTTCGTGTTTAATTGTTCGGACACGTTTAAGATATGAAAATTTTTATGTCTTAACGTATTATATATGAGTAACACGTCTAATTATTCATGTTATCGTATTTAAGCGGATAAGTGTGTTTAATCGTATCATTGTATTTAAACCTTTATATAAGACACATTTATTAACTTGTTAAAAATTAATAATCAAAAACTATTTCAGTCTTACTTAAATAATTTTAAATAATTATTTTAATAAGTTTTTTAAATTTTATAAAAATAATAATATAATTATGTTATGCCCAAATCTTAATTTTGAACTTTTATTTTGTTATATTTGATGTTATTTTTATTTTATTTTATTATAATTATTTTTTAATTATTATTTTAAATTTAAATAATAAAATTATATTTAGCTATAAAAGTTTTTCCTTAATCATGCTAAATGTCTTATTAATCGTGTTGTGTCATACATTGATACCTTTAACAAACGTGTTAATCGTGTCATGTTATACAGATATTAAACGTATACGTAAACATGTTTTAGATTAAAAATATAAATATTATTTGTATTTTATTCGTGTTTAATCTTAACGTGTTTTGTATTTAATCCTGTTCGATATATTTAAGACACGAAAACAGGAATTGTCAAGACTATAAAAAAGTCCATAAATTTTGTAGAGATTATTACACACTAAATACTAATAAAACATTACATAATACTTGACAAAAAATGTAAACGGTTAAAAAAATTCATATAAATATTTATTTTTAAGTAAAATACTTTTACTTCTTAAATTTTGATTGAAATTGTACGGAGGTCCATTAATTTTTAAAATTGACACCCACTTAAATTTTTTTTGTTAAATATTTAGGTATATTATTAGTCAACTTTCAATGTTTTGATTAATTTGATAATGTGGTAAAAATAAAAAGATAATTTTACTTTTGATTAATTTTTAAAATTATTATTATATAATTTTATTATTTTTAATTAATTAAAAAAAAAACCTCTCAAAACTGGTGCTCCCCTCCCTTGTGAGTAGACCTGTCAATATGGGCCGGCCCGGCCTAACCCGGCACTAACCCTTGTGGGCTGAAAAAATATGGGCAGGGCCGGGCCAGCCCATATTTTATATGGGCTACAAAATGTTTAGCCCAGCCCACCCCTTGCTAGCCCATGGGCCGAGCTGGGCTAGCTCATTTTTTTAAAAAAAATTATTTCTACTACTCATCAATACAAGTATACAACTATACTATGATTTAGTTCATAAATTAAATAATAAAAACATATTACAAACAAATAAATTACATCAAAAATAAATAAGCAAATACATTACATCAAATATAAATAAAATTTCAAATTTTCAATATTTAGCCCACCCCTTGTTAGCTTATGGGTTAGGTTGGGCCAGCCCATTTTTATTTTTTTTTTTAAAAAATTAATTTTTATAATTTTACTTGATAAATTTTTTATTAATAAAATTGTTCTATGATTTAATTCATAAATTGAATAATAAAAACATGTTACAAATAAATAAATTACACCAAATAAAAAAAAAAATAAATTACATAATAAAGTTTAATCTTTAACACAAACTATTATCTTATAAACATAAGTATATAACCAAATAATAAAAATTTATATTTAGCTATAAAAGTTTTTCCTTAATCATGCTAAATGTCTTATTAATCGTGTTGTGTCATACATTGATACCTTTAACAAACGTGTTAATCGTGTCATGTTATACAGATATTAAACGTATACGTAAACATGTTTTAGATTAAAAATATAATATTATTTGTATTTTATTCGTGTTTAATCTTAACGTGTTTTGTATTTAATCCTGTTCGATATATTTAAGACACGAAAACAGGAATTGTCAAGACTAATAAAAAGTCCATAAATTTTGTAGAGATTATTACACACTAAATACTAATAAAACATTACATAATACTTGACAAAAATGTAAACGGTTAAAAAAATTCATATAAATTTTTTTATTTTTAAGTAAAATCTTTTACTTCTTAAATTTTGATTGAAATTGTACGGAGGTCCATTAATTTTTAAAATTGACACCCACTTAAATTTTTTTTGTTAAATATTTAGGTATAATTATTAGTCAACTTTCAATGTTTTGATTAATTTGATAATGTGGTAAAAATAAAAAGATAATTTTACTTTTGATTAATTTTTAAAATTATATTATATAATTTATTTATTTTTAATTAATTAAAAAAAAACCTCTCAAAACTGGTGCTCCCCTCCCTTGTGAGTAGACCTGTCAATATGGGCCGGCCCGGCCTAACCCGGCACTAACCCTTGTGGGCTGAAAAAATATGGGCAGGGCCGGGCCAGCCCATATTTTATATGGGCTACAAAATGTTTAGCCCAGCCCACCCCTTGCTAGCCCATGGGCCGAGCTGGGCTAGCTCATTTTTTTAAAAAAAATTATTTCTACTACTCATCAATACAAGTATACAACTATACTATGATTTAGTTCATAAATTA